AAGCTTAAACAACACGAGCAATCTTCACGAATCATTCATCCGTCTCACAAATAAGCGCAAATGTACGCAACAAAATTCAACACACACATATACACACATAAATACACGTCTGATAGCATAGAAATATATGCACAAGCACATCGCATTTCGTCATAATACGTTATTTTGAGAAGAAAAAGCTCAAAAATGTAGCTCACAATAAAACATGATATGGATGAAAGGCACTTTATTTGCATTTGCACAGATGCGAAATGTTTTGCGTCAATGTCCCCAATGCCTGTGCGAAGTTTTTCGACATGAACGTTTCTCTACTATTCTTTAACAAATTTTTTTTTTTGATGGGAGAATGGAAAGTTGTTTTATTTGATTAATTATTATTTATAACAAAAGTATCCAACCCTTCATTAAGAAGTACTGGAGTTGCCACTGAGGGGATTTCCAGAGATTTCCAATCGCATCTGAGTGATTCCCGAATCATAATTTTACTCGAATCCCGGCTGAGGATACCTGAAATTCAATTTTATTTGAACCGTTACTGAAGAATTTTGAGCTATAACAAAATCTACATTCGAATATCACTCCTATTTATATGAATGTAGATTTTACTGGAAGCTCTATTGAAACTCCAGTGAGTGACAATCGAAACTCCTTATCCACTCATTTCTGCATGTAACTGAAAAAAGCGTTGGGCTTGGAATTATGGCTGAAGAAGTGAGTGTGAGGCTAAATCCGATTTGGAACTGTAGCATAGTTCCAGTTATGCCACACCAGTAATTCACCATTTTCCGTCATCCTCAAAATAACTCGAATCTTACATTTCGTCTAATTCCTTGTCAGATTTTAGTTCGGTTTTGCAGCCTTTTTCAAGCCTTCTCGCTCAATTGAAAATCCTTTTCAAAGTTTAATTGAGGAAATCCTGGTGCCTTTCGTTTTTTCAACGCGCCGCTGTTTTCAAAAAATAAAATTAATTTTGTTTTTTGCAAAAGCCAAAATTTGCAGGCAACAATGAGTGGATCCCTGCTGAAGGGAGTTTTCAGACGAGATGAAATGCGACTGAAGGAAAAGGAGGAATGCGTAGCTGATGAACCCGACAGCGTGCCATGCACGCCTATCACTCCGGTTATCACCACATTTCCAATCAAAATCAAAAATATTAAAAGTGCTGGTTCAGATAACGGAGGACTTAAATCCCAAGTTTTTTCCATTTTTTGTTTTTTGAATATTCTGCGATTTTGAAAAAAGTTTTAGCTTACTCAAAACCTATAGTGGTAACCGTGAGAAAGTAGACGACCACTTTAGCGTTCTCTAGAGGTGACATTCACCTACGAGTACAGAAGCTGCGCAGTTTAGTTTTGATCGAAGGAAGGAGCACAGCTGAGCCTGGTATATGGTGGCATTCTATCAGCATTACTAACACAGGATACCCATACTGATTACCTTGACGATGCCGGTAATTTTACTACTGGACAGAAGGCTAATTCTTTCTTGTTTCGAAATAACTTAAAAATCACTAATATCTTTTTAAGTTCTTACATTTTCAGGTCATTAGCGAACAGACAAATGGTAGTGCTATGGAGGATCCAACACCAGAAGCCTACATAACTTTTTCGGTGCGCATACGCTTAAAAGAAGGACGCAACCTGGTAATTCGGGATAGTTCAGGTGCACCACCTTTCCTGTAATCATAGCTTTTTTCCCTGGCCAATATTTTGTTTGGCGCCTTGAATTATTTTAAAACCTTGCAGATGAGGCAAAATTAGCGTGATGAGCATGTGTTACACTTTGATTGATTAACTTTAGGAATACAGAAGAAGCATTTGCTCTAAACACCAGCGTTTGACGCACAAGTGTCTGCTGAATTACTAATGGCTATTTGAAACATGCGTGTGAAAACATTCCAGTGACATTACGGACACGGGATGCCCGCACTGATTGTCCGGCTATCGTAATATTCGGGGTATTTGAAATAAATTTTCTGTCAGGAACCAGCGATCCGTATGTCAAGTTCAAGTACAAAAATCGGACATATTTCAAAAGCTCGGTGGTGCACAAGAGTTTGAACCCAGTTTGGGAAGAAGAATTCACACTTCTCATTGATGATCCGACCATGCCCATTCAAGTGGATGTATACGATTACGACCGATGGGCCACCGATGATTATATGGGTGGAGCTGTTATTGATCTCAGTCAGCTTAAACTTTTTCAGTAAGTTCCTGAGACGAAGACGCTTCTTGACGTACCGGAGCAGAATGTAGCGACTGGAAGAAAATTGATCATACAAATCTAAACTTCATAAATGTGATTATTTATGCATAAAACGGGACAAAATTCCAAAACTTTAATAAAATGAACAGCAAAATATACCCCAAAAAATGCGATATATGCTTACGTGCTTCTAGATTTAAAAAAACGGCGATAATCGATACAATCTGCTCATTTTTCAAGAAAATAGAAATTTCTTAAAATGCTTTTAAGGATCTGAAGTCAAAGCAGAAGTCAAAATTCGCTCCATATTTATTCTCTATGAAACGCGGAGGCATTCGGAAGTAGTTCGAATGACAGCACGTGCAAACAGTGACCAACGGCTTCCTCCTTCAGTTAGCTGCAGCAGCCACTGGCTTCCTCTTTCAATGGCTTCTTTTTTCTAGAGCTGCTTAAAATCAACCCAATGATGGGTTCGATTACTTGATAGTGTCAGTACTAATCAAAGTGAATGAGCCAATCGGGGAAAAACTACTTTCCCAGCGCCGAAGTAGAACCGTTGATCTGCAGCATGAGAACATCGCCATTTTCCCTCTGCGCCATGTCCACCAGTGCGTTCCTAAAATAAGAAAATATTTTGCATTATTTGTTATTATCAAAATATTCGTAATTAAAAGGAATGCTGCGGGTATGCATCAGTAATATTTGAAGCGCTGCAAAGAAATGGTTGACACCGCTATTCAAAAGGATGTAATCTTGCAAGCGAAATATTTGCTTCTAAAATTCCATGGCAAGGATTCAGGAAGATTTTTGTTTAGTGAATTGCAGGATGACGATCATGAAACTGAAGCTTCATGAAGAAGGATGTGAAAACTCAGGAGCCATCGATGTAGTCGTTACAGTGACACCGCTAACAGCTCATGAGAAGGATGAAGTAAGTATACTGTGCTAGGCTAAAACAGAGTGACAGGCTTGCTTCGTTAAGACTACCATGCATCAGTAAATATGCCTGACGAAAAGAAATGACCATCTGGATGGTTTTCGAAAAACCGAAGAGTGGAAATAGTTGTGAAGATTGGAGGCAAATAGTTCACGGCAAAGTACTGGACATCAACTCATTAACACAGAACCTGTAGAGCCGTTAATTCTCGCGAATCACAAGATTTTGGAATAGTCATTTTCCAATGTTCGCGTTTTACATACCATGCTAAATGGGATCGCTGACGATCAATGCAGCGAAGGATGCTTGCCGTGTCTCTTCGTGATCATAGTAACAGTCAGAATTTTCGTTAGATGAGTGATGTGCAGGCTGTTTTGCTATCCATGGTTGCAGAGCCTTCTCTTTTCAGTAACTTTTTTAGACATTAAAAAGTAATTCGTTGCAGTTTCTAAAAAAAGCAACACGCGGGATTATTTGTGAGCGACCAAAGAAGACACCACCAAAAAGTGAGATTCTTCGCCAAAAATTATCTGTTTTATGCTTCATTGCATATATCATAAGGTCTCTTACGCGTACGCTGATAACTTAACTCGGAGGCAACAAAAGCTGAGGAGCTGAGGAGTATCTGCGTGTAAAAAAAACCTATAAAATTGTAATGAACATCCATACCTCACTGTGAGCTTTAATTTTCTAAAACTGTTGGCAGAATTCGACTAATATTCTAGGAAAGGAATAAGCAAAGTTCTGAACTGGAAAAACCCAGTCACTCAGTAGACTTTTCAAGAAGCACAAATTTATGGCGTTTGCAATTTCTTAGGCTACCTGATCTGGCGAAAATCTCGTT